TTGCAATAAAACAGCTCACCTCACTCCAGTTCCCCACAGTCCATTCTGACCCACACGGTACATCTCGGTTGCAAGGTAACACAGTTTTGGATTTGGGGAGATGCTTACAGTCCCCAGGGTGCAGAACGCGTTCCTCTCCGACCACCGTGCGCACACACAGAATGGTGCGCTTTCTCACTCCGGCGGGACCGCACGTAGCCGAGCATGTCTGCCATCCTCCCAACCACCACCTGAAGTCAGCAAGGGTTTAGGCCAGCGTATCTCAACCTTTTTGACTTCAAGGCCCCCCATAGTAGCCTGACTACATCAGACTTCCTTCTTCCGCTAATTTCATTTCGCTTCTGTAGTCTACGAAGCAAAGTGAAGTAGCAGAGTCTGGTATAGGCTAACCCCATTGACCTTAGATGCCATATAAAATTTAACACAGATGAAAATGAGGCTGTGAGGGATAGACTTACAGCCTGAGGAGCCCCTAAATGGATTAGACTAATAAATATCTAGATTTTTTGTTGTTTTAGCGCACGCATTTTGATTTTGTAGTTCTTTTTGTGACTTCACACAGAAATAGGAATACTGGCCTTCAGAGGTAATCGCAAAACCCGACAAGTGAATCATTGTAATGTGTGATTACAACCCCTTCACACACAGGCAATAAAAAAAGGGAATCATTTTAGAAGAAAAGTTACATTTAGCACCTTTAACACATACTCATTATTTCTACATTACCGTACCTTGCAGGGCAGTCCATGTTCTTGCACTTGCGATGATTGTCATCAGGACGGGTACTGGGGTCACACAGTGTTTCTTCAACCACGCCAACCTCTGCCTCGAAACAGCGCACAGGTTGATGCTGCTCACCTATACAGAGAGAAAAAACAATCAGACCTATCAGCTTTCAAAAATATCTAAATGATGGGAGGACATTTCAAACAACTACAAAACCAATAACTACTATGATTCAATTGTTTGGAACCCAAAAAAAAAAAAAGATTGTGATGAGTCAATTTAAAGGAGTAGTTCACTTTAAAAAAAACTTTTGCTGATAATTTACTCACCCCCATGTCATCCAAGATGTCCATGTCTTTCTTTCTTCAGTTGAAAAGAAATTAAGGTTTTTGATGAAAACATTCCAGGATATAATGGACTTCAATGGGAACCAAATGGTTCAAGGTCCAATTGAGAGTTTCAGTGCGGCTCAAAGGGCTTTAAAGGACACAAGACGATGAATAAGGGTCTTATCAAGCAAAACGATCACTCATTTCAAAAAAAAAAAAAAAAAAAAAGTTTTATAAGCACAAATGGTCGCCTTGCTCTGTTCTGTGATGTGCGTTCGTGACTCTCCTGTTCGAAATCTTTTTTTGAGTCATTTCATTCGTTCGTTCGTTGAATGAACCTAATGAACCTAATGAATTAATTTTTTTATTTGTTTTTTAAATGACCGGTCATTCCGCTAGATAAGACCCTTATTCATCGTCTGGTGTCGTTTAAAGCCCTTTGAAGCTGCACTGAAACTGTCTTTCGGACCTTCAACTGTTTGGTTCCCATTGAAGTCCATTATATGGAGAAAAATCCTGGAATGTTTTCATCAAAAACCTTAATTTCTTTTCGACTGAAGAAAGAAAGACATGGACATCTTGGATGACATGGGGGTGAGTTTTTTTTTTTAAAAGTGAACTACTCCTTTAAGTATGGACTGTAATAAAAAGTAAAGAAAATCTCCATACCAAGCCCACAGGTGGTGCTGCAGTCAGTCCAGGCTCCGTATTTCCAGATATATTCAGGTTCCAGAATATCGTTCCCCAGCGGGCGACTCCTCTTAATGGTGTACTCATATTTGACACCAGGATTCAGCTCTTGGAACAACAACTAAACATATCAAATTAAAACAAAAACATCTATCATTTAATCGCAGTATTCAATAAATCATCTTGTTCTGCAAGTGTCGCCAGTCTAAGATGCAGCGGCTTTTTTGTCATGCTATTTTTCATTCTTTCTCACATAAATAATTTAAGAAGAAGAGTGATAAATAAAAAAACACTCTTTGTGCCTGCCAAGATAATTATAACAAAAATGCTTTCTGGGCAAATTGGTCATTCGTTCATTACACCAATAATGTAGGTATACTACAATTGATTACCAAAGTGAAGCCACAGACTCTTTACTGAATGTGTTAATACAAGCAAAAATTGCATTTCCAGTTGTGTTTTTAAATGAAAGTCTATGTGGCAAAGCAAAGCTCAAGAATAAAAGCCAAAATACACACTGTTTTGAACGTATACGACAGAGATTAAATTGTAAATGGTTTCACATTTTTATGTTTCATCTATGAGAATGGTGCTATAAAATCATTTGCCAACCTTTTCTGTTCTCAGAAAGGGATGTGATGCAACTATCCATAGACACTATTAGTGTTAATTATAAGTGTAATTTATACTATTTTTTATAATATTTATACTATTTTATTAGTGTAAATTACACTATTTTAAATATTATTTTAATTTATAACATAACTGTGATTAATCGCACCCAAAATAAAAGTTTGTGTTTACATAATACATTAGTAAAATTATTTTTCATATATAAATACACACACATGCATGTATATATTTATATATTTAAGAAATATGTGCATGTATATATTCTATGTATATTTATACACAATTTATAATGTTAATATTTTATACATAAATAACACAGTTTTCTTAAATGTATACATGCATGTGCGTGCATTTATATATACAAAATATTTTTACGCATTTATTATGAAACACAATGTTTTATTTTGGATGCAATTAATCATTGCCCAGCTCTAAATATGTTTTTTTAGCTTTACATTTCCTTACTACAACTTACTTTCAGCATTTCTTGAACTTCTTCAAATGTAAGTGCGCATTTTTTCTTTGTTTTTATAAACCTGATGGTGTCTATAGAGTTTAAAAGATATTGAACTAAGAAAATTCCTTTGGTATTTGTGCATTTAGGCAGATCGAGTGTTTACGTGTGTGAGGGTACCTGGATCCGGACAGGTTCAGTTGTTGGTCCTGCAGAGGTGAGATTCTCCATATTTCCGCTCCGATCGTAGTAAAACTTTGTGCCGCCTGCCTCATACTCTCCGTTCCACTGAATGATGTAATTCCCATTGAGGTAATACTCATCTGAATCAGCCGCTCGGATCGCAAGGAAATTCCCAGCCTCTTCTACTTCCTGTATGAAGATATCCCGAGCTCCCTTAGGAATCAAAACCAGGTCCATGTAACCTAAATCACATGGTCTCACTTATAAACCATATAAGACATCATTCAAACAAACAGTACATTCATCTGGACATACAGTATATCGTTTAATTTATCATTTGTTAAATGTAATTTAATCTCTAAAATATAGAATTATATCATTCGTGTGTGCTACACACCAAATCCATCTAGCTTCACAAAGTTCTCCTTCACCGTCTCACAAGTGGATCCATCACCGAGACAAACGCCACAGCTGTCCTCTTTAGCATTAGAATTAATGCCAAAATCACAACCCACCTCCTGGTGAAAGATTACACAAACACACACACAATATACTTGTTTTCTATGGCACAAAAGCATTATTGACTTTTCTCATAACATGAAAGGTCAATATTAGGAGACAAAAAAAAAATGCATGGTGGTACGTGCTGTTGATCAACCAATATATGTATTCGTAAAAACAATAATTAAAGGCATAATTCACTGAAAAATGACATGTTTATGAAACAAACATGTCTCATATATCAAATATAAAACGTTTTATGTCGTTTCAGACCTGTACGACAGTGAGTATGAAGACAGAATTAAAATTGTTGGATGAAATATTCCTTTTAAGGTATATTTACCTGTAAATTGACCTGTATGTGACATATCTGGATAATACACTACTGCTCAAAAGTTTGGGGTCAGTAAGATTTTTTTCTTTTTTGTGTGTGTGTGAAAGAAATTAAATACTTTTATTCAGCAAGGATGGATCAAATTAATCAAAAGTGACAAAGTGAAAACTTAAAAAAAAAATATATATATATATATATATACATATATATATATGAACATCACTGATCAAATAATTGCAGCCTTGGTGAGCTTTTTTGTGTGTGTATAAAATAAACATCTTACCAACCCTAAACGTTTGAATGGTAGTGCATACAGTTCAAAATGAAGCTGAAAAGAACATTGAACAAGAATAATGAAGAAAAAAATGTTGTTAGTGAAGCTTGTGCAGCACAGATGCAGCTTTGATCATTTAAAATGATGTGAAAGTGTCACAAAATACTTTGTTAGACACTGATATACACAGCTGTAAAACATCAATACACAAGCACAATTGGGTTGAGTAAGACATACCCAGCCACACTACCTTGCACACACCATTGACACAGACGTTCCTGCTGTTGTTGATCATGAAGCAGGGCGTTCCATCTATGACCGCATCCAACATCTTCTCAGAAAAGTCCTCATCCACAGGCTTGCAGTGCAACTCGCATGGACGCGCTGTGTGAGAGAGAGAGCGACAGGCCGGCTATTTACTGTGTGATACTGTGAAGAATTTTACTACAGTGTTAAAAATCCTTTATACTAATACATTTAATATCATGGAAAGTACCATGATATAACCTTAAACTATGTACTGTTCAAAGTTTGAGGTCAGTGAGATTTTAGTCTCACTGACCTCTCTCATCAAGGCTGCATTTATTTGATTAAAAAATACAGTAAAATCAGTAATATTGTGAAATATTATTACAATATACAACAAGTGTTTTCTACGGTCATATATTTAAAAATTAGGGCTGTCAAACGATTAATCGCGATTAATCACATCCAAAATAAAAGTTTGTGTTTATATCATATATGTGGGTGCACTGTGTATAATTATATATAAATATAAATATATATATACACGCACATGCATGTATATTTAAGAAATAAAATATTATTTATATATAAAATATTTATATTTATATATAATATAAATTATATATAAATCTATATACAGTATATACATGAAAATATTTCTTAAATATATACAAGCATATGTGTGTATTTATATATATATATATATATAATAATTATACACAGTGCACCCACATATATGATATAAACACAAACTTTTATTATGGATGCGATTAATAAAAAAATAATAAAATTAATTTTAAAATTAAAAATGTAAATTATTCCTGTGATAAAAAGCTGACGTTTCAGCACCATTACTCCAGTCTTCAGTGTCACATGATCCTTCAGAAATCATTCTAATATGCTGATTTGATGCTCAGTTTGCGGATTTCTATTTTTCTGGAAAAAATGACACCATTTTTTCAGGATCTTTCATCCTTTAAGTAACTACATTTATTTGTAACATTATACTGTAAATGTCTTGACTGTCACTTTTGATCAATTTAATGTGTCCACGCTGAATACAAATATTTATGAATATTAAAAAAATCTTTATTCTATACCATTCTATACCTGAAAGTTACTGAAAGACTCATAAAGTTTATAATCAATAGATATTGTTACCATGCAAACATCAGTCTTTAGGCTATAATCTACAATCCAAAATTCCTGCTGTGCTCCAACTGAGCAAACAACAATGACTAAACATTTGTGTCAGGAACCCACACACCTCTAAAGCTGGCTAATAAAAGTGGGGCATTCTTGAAAGTGAACCAACAAACTCTATAAAAGTGTAAGCAGCCACGTGTAAGGAGTTTTATGTTAATGTCAACAGGCCTCGACCCGCCGCAGTGTCTTGGCTCAGCTGTTCAGTTGTAGAGAGCACATGTTTTCATTTCTCAAGTCTTCAGCCACAGTTCTGTAGAAATCTGTGTTTATTCTGAGTTTTGAGAAGAAATATGAGCAAAGAAGCAGGGATGGTGGCTTAATCCACATGCTATGGCCTACAAAATATAATTTTGAATACGCTTTCAAATTTCTGAAACAGATCCTCATGACCCATGAAATTAATTTTAATCTAAGCTTTGATGCCACCAATATGCTAATGTGCTAATCAAAGTTAAGATATATAAACAATAGTGAAGATTTGGGGTAAAATTTGATAATATTACACAATATTCCTATTTCAAATAAATTAACTTTCAATTCATTTAAAATTTCAAGAATCCTGAAAAAATGCATCATGGTTTGCATAAAAATATTAAGCACCACAATTGTGTCCAACATGGATAATAATAAGAAATGTTTCTTGAGCAGAAAATGATTTCTGAAGGATCATGTGACACTGAAGGCTGGAGAAATAAATTACATTTGAAAATATATTCAAATAGAAAACAGTATATTTCACAATATTAAGCATTTTTGGTCAAATAAATGACCCCAAACTTTTGACCGGTAGTGTATCTTGTCCCATGCATACATACATTTGAAAGGAATATTTTGATGCATGTGATCTTACAGGTGACAGCAACCGGTATCCACTCGTAGAGTTCATTGTGGTAAGGCACAGTGTTAAATTCACTGCACTGCATCTCTCTAAAGGAGGGCCGTTTTCTGGCACACGGCTTCGTGTTGCAAATCCTGTAGCGCTTCCGCTCACCCGTACAATACTTCCCTCCAAACTCAGGTCTGTACATAGAAACAAAAATCATGCTTACATATCATATGTTCAGCAAAATTTACAAGGAAAGACTGAGAAGCGGGAGGAATTGAAATGTGGAGGAAAAAAAGAGACAGTGGTTATTTAAAGATTGAAAATGGTGAATAGACGCTAGTGCACTAAAGGCAGCAGCAGTTCAAAAAATAGGTACAGGTGTGCCCTCTAGTGTTTTCTGCTGGTAGTATAGAAAACATGAACACGCTGTCAGGACAGCATACAATGACCACTGTACTTTTTTATGCAGTATGTTTATTGTAGCCAATGTGTAAACTATCCACTATCCACCCAATAATAGCTCAATACATTTACAAAAATTGTGTCAAAAAAGTGCACACAGAATACTATATCCCAGAATGCATTGCACCCGACTTGACCTTTCATTTCACATGCTAAATAAATATAAGAAATTTTACTTTTTAGTTATCAATTTACACATTTATATGTTTATATACACAAACAAATACATTAACATTCAAAAAGTTCTTTAATAATTTTAAAGAAGTTTCTTATGCTCGCAAATGATGCATTTATTTGATCGGTAACACTTTGCACTTTACCATTCGATCAAACATACAGTAAATAATGTAAAATGTAATAATGTACTCCACACAGTAATAATGTAAAATGTTATTGCTTTTTAAAATATCTGTTTTCTATTTAAATATATTTTAAAATGTATATTATTCCTGTGAATAAAGCTGAATTTTTAGGTTTCAGCATCATTACGCCAGTCTACAGTGTCACATGATCCTTCAGAAATCATTCTAATATGCTGATCTGGACACTTTTGATCAACTTCTGATATTGTCATTTTTGAGCACCCTTTCTCAATAAAGCAAATTTCTTAAAAAAAAAAAAAAATCCACCTGACCACAAAACATGAATGAATGAAAGAAAAGCACTGAGGAATAATGGTACTTAGGCTTGTTGCATTCCCTGTCTGCGGACTGGACGCCGGCTCCACAGGTCCGAGAGCAGAAGGACCAGGTGCTCCAGGGACCCCACCCTCCATGCACTGTTTCCGGTAACTTCCCTACGATGACACACTCACCAGAGATACACCACTGACACACACAGATACTCAATTCAATATATAGTGATACAAAAAACACTTCTCTCTACATGTAAATCCGTCCTACCTTATCAGGTCCACACTTGGTTCCGTCGACTGGTGAGTCCAGTTTGGAGCGGCACGTCCCGTTTATAGAGCACCACAGAATTTGACACACGTTCTGGAACCAGAATTATTTACTTGACAACCTGATGATCTGCTTTCGTTATTTGAGACAAGAAAATACATTATACTTTTGGAGAGAAAAAAAATTCAAAGTAATGAATACATCTTAAACTCTAAACTGTATCTGTGTCCATTACACAGATACAATTGCCCTCTGCTTGTAAAACAAGAAAAAGTTAAAACTTTTTGATCAAACACCGAAACCATTAAACTCTGGTGTAAAAGCACCAGAATAAATATATAAAAACATTAAATATTAAAAAAATATATATAGAAAAAATATTTTCCCCTCAGCTTGTAAAAACTTTTTGAACAAACACCGAAACCACCAAACTCTGGTGTAAAAACACCAGAAAAAAATATAAAAATATTAAATATAAAAAGAAAAAATATATAGAAAAAATATTTTCCCCTCAGCTTGTAAAATCTTTTTGATCAAACAACGAAACCACCAAAATCTGGTGTAAAAGCACCAGAAAAAAATATAAAAATATTAAATATAAAAAGAAAAAATATATAGAAAAAATATTTTCCCCTCAGCTTGTAAAAACTTTTTGATCAAACACCGAAACCATTAAACTCTGGTGTAAAATCACCAGAAAAAAATATAAAAATATTAAATATTTAAAAAAAAAATATATAGAAAAAATATTTTCCCCTCAGCTTATAAAAACTTTTTGAACAAACACCGAAACCATTAAACTCTGGTGTAAAAGCACCAGAAAAAAATATAAAAATATTAAATATTTTAAAAAAAAATATAGAAAAAATATTTTCCCCTCAGCTTGTAAAAACCTTTTGAACAAACACCGAAACCATTAAACTCTGGTGTAAAAGCACCAGACAAAAATATAAAAATATTAAATATTAAAAAAAAAATATATAGAAAAATATTTTCCCCTCAGCTTATAAAAACTTTTTGAACAAACACCGAAACCATTAAACTCTGGTGTAAAAGCACCAGAAAAAAATATAAAAATATTAAATATTTTAAAAAAAATATATAGAAAAATATTTTCCCCTCAGCTTGTAAAAACTTTTTGATCAAACACCGAAACCATTAAACTCTGGTGTAAAATCACCAGAAAAAAAATATAAAAATATTAAATATTTTAAAAAAAAATATATAGAAAAAATATTTTCCCCTCAGCTTATAAAAACTTTTTGAACAAACACCGAAACCATTAAACTCTGGTGTAAAAGCACCAGAAAAAAATATAAAAATATTAAATATTTTTAAAAAAAATATAGAAAAAATATTTTCCCCTCAGCTTGTAAAAACCTTTTGAACAAACACCGAAACCATTAAACTCTGGTGTAAAAGCACCAGACAAAAATATAAAAATATTAAATATTTAAAAAAAAAATATATAGAAAAAATATTTTCCCCTCAGCTTATAAAAACTTTTTGAACAAACACCGAAACCATTAAACTCTGGTGTAAAAGCACCAGAAAAAAATATAAAAATATTAAATATTTTAAAAAAATATATAGAAAAAATATTTTCCCCTCAGCTTGTAAAAACTTTTTGATCAAACACCGAAACCATTAAACTCTGGTGTAAAATCACCAGAAAAAAATATAAAAATATTAAATATTTTAAAAAAAAATATATAGAAAAAATATTTTCCCCTCAGCTTATAAAAACTTTTTGAACAAACACCGAAACCATTAAACTCTGGTGTAAAAGCACCAGAAAAAAATATAAAAATATTAAATATTTTTAAAAAAAATATAGAAAAAATATTTTCCCCTCAGCTTGTAAAAACCTTTTGAACAAACACCGAAACCATTAAACTCTGGTGTAAAAGCACCAGACAAAAATATAAAAATATTAAATATTTAAAAAAAAAATATATAGAAAAAATATTTTCCCCTTAGCTTATAAAAACTTTTTGAACAAACACCGAAACCATTAAACTCTGGTGTAAAAGCACCAGAAAAAAATATAAAAATATTAAATATTTTAAAAAAATATATAGAAAAAATATTTTCCCCTCAGCTTGTAAAAACTTTTTGAACAAACACCGAAAGCATTAAACTCTGGTGTAAAAGCACCGGAAAAAATTATAAAAATATTAAATATATAAAAAATATATATATATATAGAAAACATATTTTCCCCTCAGCTTGTAAAAACTTTTTGAACAAACACCGAAAGCATTAAACTCTGGTGTAAAATCACAAGTTCAAGCAATTTATTGAACAGAGGCATGAAACTATTTTATTATTTAAGTGATTTTTTTGGAAAATCTGACAATATTTTGATTGAAATCTTTTGCCTAAGGAGAAATAACATTCCACAATGTCCCAATCCAAATCTAGTGACCTAAATACCACAGACACTACAAACAGAGCCAGGAACATCTATAGCAATCCACTAAAATCCACCTCCCAACCCACAATTCAACACCCTGCAATCCATACAGAACATGCTAGTGTAACAGTGCTGACTTTCGCATAGTGAATACTCCTCTATTTTATATAGCGCTTTTCACAGTAGATAGTGTTTCAAAGCAGCTATACAGAAAATTACAATGTTAATGTTTATAATATCATTATAGTTGCAAAGCAGATTAGAGCAGGTCTGAAATAGCACACTATAAAGCAGTAAATGCTTCATTTGGTTTGAAACTTACTTTGTGACTGTTAAAAAAGTATGTTTTATATAGTAGGAATGTGTGTAGTATGACTTAAATCAGGACGTATTACATTCGCCATGTTGACATTGTCATGTGATCTAAGCCGTCGGTTGTGTTGTTGCTTCACTTCCATTCACAAACCCTCTCCCGTGGCCTCAAGGGATATTAAAATGCCCATCCAAAGCACATTCCAGAACCTCACCAGAAGTATAGGTCATGCTACTGTTTTATGAATACTATACTTACATCCACTTCTGAGCAGAAGGTGGCGTTGGGCCCGTACTGCAGCTGGCACTGGTGCTGGGGTGTGTATCGCACTCCAGGTGCCGCCCCCGGGGCGCTGAGGCCCTTCTTAGACGGACGGTCATCCAGACAGAAACCCCAACCACGACTGAGCAGGTGAAGATAACAGAGCTTTATGAATGAAGATCACAGTCTGGAATGCTGAAAAGTTAGTGGTAAGACGTAAGATATAAAGCATGCAATTACATGTTCCTGTACAAGAGAGCGTGTTCTCACTCGAGAAAGCGGGTTATGTACTCCTTGCTGCAGGAGGACCAGGTGAGAGGAGAGGAGTCGTAGTGGAGCTGGCGGGACATGATGAAGGTATGTCTCCCCACTAACTCACAGTCATTCCCTTGACCGTCATGTTGGATTCCGAAACTACAGCAAAACAAGGCGAATCACAACACTTTTTATTATGGCTGAACGATTTTGGAAAATAATCTAATTGCGATTTTTTTTAACCAATATTGCGATTGCGATTTAATATGCGATTTAAAAAAAAAAGTTATTTACCTTCTATATTAGTCGACAAAGACGAGCAATAAATCATTGTACAGTAGGGATGGGAATCTTTAGATAGCTCATGATCCGATCTACTTTTTTTCTTATTAATTAATCTTAATAACTCTTAAAATATGTATTTAATTACATGTGTTAAAAAAACACATACTTTAAAAAATAAATATAAAAAAACATTTAATTAAACCAATTACATGTTAAGAATTTTAAATAGGCTATATAAAATAATATAGCTTCAAAATATAAAAGCTAGTAGAGAAACAAACAAAAAAAAACATTACAAGCAATAAACAAAGAGTGGTCTCAGTATTTAAAAGTAGGCTGTCTGAATGTTTTTCATTCAAGAGCTGGAGTGATTTCCCCTCAGTTTAGATACGATAAGCTGCATTCACACTAATGCATATATCTCTTTTGAAATTGTAAATGTGGTTTGTCCTGATGGTTTAAGATATAACTGACCGTGTTTACATCAATTTCGCGTCATAAAAGCATTTTGACATGCAAGTACATTTACCAATGAGTCGCTCACGGCCGCATGCACGAGCGCTCTTCACAAAGCACGCGTTAGTATTTTAAAATGAAAGCAGCCTTCTCAGTGATTTTCATGGTGTTAATATAAGCCAACTGCATTCAAAAATACATAAATAATGCCTCTGTGAAGCATTTGTAAAGAAAATACCCGCGGGAGAGAACGCGCACTGCAAGTGTAACGTTATAACATCAAGCAAAGCGGCAAAACCTGTTCAATGAAGCCCGCGAATGTCCCCGACCTTTATAAAATAACGTTACTATGTTTTGGAAGGTTCGAGCGGTGTCGTGTGTGTGAGTGAGGAAGAGAGAGAGAGAGAGAGAGAGAGAGAGAGAGAGAGAGAGAGAGAGAGAGAGAGAGAGAGAGAGAAAATAGAAGCAAGCAGATTCAGAACACGGTTCGTTTCTAAAGCACGCGCAGCGTCATCACGCATCTGTGTTTAAAAACTAAGCTCATACTCGATTCTGAAATTCTCTGAATCGATCCAGGATTGTTGAGGAGAGGAGAGAATAAATAACACAATAAACTGTTCTTTTCTGGACGCCAGACCGCGTAGCTGATGCTTTATCTTGCAGACTGCTTTTCTCTCGCGTGTCAAGTGACCAGTGTAATCGCAGCTCTTGCGATTACAAAATCGCGTTTCATCATATCGCGATTTTATCGCAAATGTAATTAATCGTTCAGCCCTACTTTTTATCCCTTCAAATGCACACTACTAAACTCACCAAGGCTGCATTTATTTGATCAAAAACACAGTAAAGACAGTATTATTGTGAAATATTACAATTCAAAATAATTGTTTTCTATTTCGATATGTTGTAATCTGAATTTTCACTACTCCAGTCTTCAGTGTTACATGATTATTCAGAAATCAGTCTTATATGATGATTTGCTGCTCAAGAAACAATATTACCAACGTTGATAACAGTTGTGCAGTTTTCAAATTTTTCTGGAAACTATGACACTTTTTTGTTTCAGGATACTTTGATGAATAGAAAGTTGAAAAGAACAGCATTTATTTGAAATAGAAATTATTTTACAAAAGCACTTTTGATCTATTAATGTCGCGTATTTAGTTTGTGTGTTCATGTTTAGAGTTGGTTGTTCTGTTCCTGAGATTCTGTTTTGTGAAGATTTGAATTTATTTCCACATAAAGATCCTGCAACCAATGCTGACAATATAATGAATCCTTGAAATTTTTATTTTAATTTTATTTTTAAATCTGACCCTAAGGAAATTGGGTCTACAGGAAGAGAACATTTTATTTCTTTACAGGTCACCTACAGTGACCTTTCCAAATACACCAATGACACCATTTGATGGAAACGCACCTGTGTCCAAGCTCATGAGCGATGGTGAAAGCGACCGGTAGCCCCGAGTCCTCGTTGATATTGCAGGAGCGATGTGGCTGGCACATGCCTGACAGGTGAGACAAGCCTAGCGTCTCACACGGCTGATTCATGCCTGCGCAGATATCCTTCCTGAGAGCAGAGATCACATCGGGTCAGACACAAAAGAGCACAACAGCTGCTTTGATTCATTTTATAGGCTACTAAAGTAGAGCTGCAGGGGAAAAACTGCTGAAGAAGAGTTATGGTCTTGGGTTGAATTCTTTGCCATTTTTATGCAAAACTTTGTTAAGCATGCATGAGCTCTGGAGATGATGAGGTCACTCCATCTGTGGAGCTCTGGGTGGAAAAGTGAGCTTTTAGGGACTGTTAAAAGCTCAGAGACAGACAGCTCCATTACTGTAACCTAGAAACTGACATTTATGATGATAATAAATGAGAGTGAGCGAGTTCATGTGCATGTTGGACATCACTTTTCCCCTTGATAATTGGATAATGGTTCTTACTTTCAGTGGTGCATTCCACTGTATGTTTTTTAGGTCAGCAAAATTAAATAATTTCATGGATTTGAATAAATCCAGTAAATTTAGATAAAGATATTTAGATATTATTTGGTTCGTTTAGATACTGACAACTGGCAATACATTTTAAAGGCATAAGAATGAATATAATATGCATATGTACTGTTCGTAATTATATATTCATGTATGCATTTTATGTATTTTTAATTTCATATACTGTATATACATGTGTGTGTGTGTGCACATAATAAAACTTATTTTAAAACTTAATTATTTTAGGGGGAAAATATATATACATAAAATATTATGGCTGTGCAAAGATTAATTGCAATTAATCACATCCAAAATAAAAGTTTGTGTTCACATAATATATGTGTGTGTGCTGTGTATAATTATTTTGTATATATAAATACACATGTATGCATGTATATATTTAAGAATTATTTGCACGTAAATACTGTATATATAAAAATACTAGGGCTGTGCAAAAGTTAATTGCGATTAATCGCATCCAAAATAAAAGTCTGTTTTACATAATATATTTGAGTGTGCTGTATATAATTATTTTGTATATATAAATACCTATGCATGCATGTATATATTTAAGAATTATTTGCGCTTAAATTCTGTATATATATATATAAATACATAATCTATATTATATAAATATAAATATTTTATATAGGAATAACACATTTTCTTAAACATATACATGCATGTGTGTGTATTTATATATACAAAATAATTATATACAGCACACACAAATATACTATGTAAACACAGACTTTTATTTTGGATGCGATTAATCGCAATTAACTTTTGCACAGCCCTAAAAAATACATAATCTTTATTATATATAAAATATTTTATATATGAATAACACATTTTCTTAAATATATAGATGCATGTGTGTGTATTTATATATACAAAATTATTATACACAGCACACACAAATATATTATGTAAACAAAAACTTTTATTTTGGATGCGATTAATCTTTGCACATTTTAGTATTTTTTTCAATGTAAATTTTAAAAATAAAAATGCAAAATAAAAATAAAAATAAAAGCTAATTCAATATATATAAAAAAAATCTATACTGGAATATAAGTACTACTAAAAGAACCATATATAATATAATATAATATAATATAATATAATATAATATAATATAATATAATATAATATAATATAATATAATATAATAAAATATAATATAATATAATATAATATAATATAATATAATAATATAATATAATATAATATAATATAATATAATATAATATAATATAATATAATATAATCATTGTTACCACAACTGATGTCTTTATTTTCATTATTATTAAAAAAAATGTATACTATTGTCTTTATTATATTATTTCAGGTACCATCCACCTGTAAAGAAATGTGGAAATCACTGTAATAAAAACCTAAATAAAAAAGATATTAAATATTTAAGGTATAAAAAATATAAAAGATATAATAGATAATAAATAAAAAAATCTATAAATATAAAAGATATTAACAGTGTTTTTACCGTGTGATGAGTATAGCAACATCATGGTGTGCAGGATGAGTGTCACTTTGAGGATTGAGGTTTTTCTGCCATGCACAGAAGCTGTTGAGAGTCGTATCAGCGTGGTGAGCGATCTTCAGCCCTTTCTGAAAACACACAAAAGTCCAAAACAATTTTATTTCTATAGTGTCCAGTAACTCATGCTTAAAAAAGCACATGTTATTCATTATGTCCAGAGTTGGGAAAGTTTATTTTCTACATTAAAGTTCAGTTCACAAATTTATGGTTAATACTTCACAATTTTGAACTAAGTTCACGGTTCCAAAAAGTGAACTAGTTCATTTTTTTTTTTCCATATTTTGCTGCGAGCTATTTTAAAAAAAATATTTTTTATGTATTTTGGACCTTGATCTGTTTGGTTCCCATTGAAGTCCATTATATGGAGAAAATCCTGGAATGTTTTCATCAAAAACCTTAAATTCTTTTCGACTGAAGAAAAAAAGACATGGACATCTTGGATGACATGGGGGTGAGTAAATTATCAGCAAAAGTTTTTTCAAAAGTGAACTACTCCTTTAAACTGAGAGAGCGTGCGCGTTCACAGTAGCGCTCATCAGGCAGTAATACAGTACGTTCAGTTCACAACACTGATTCAGGCACAACACTGATTACGTCTATGTTTAACCAGCCTCACCAGACCAGAACTAACCAGCATTAATCAGTTAAATAAATAAATATCAAAACAAATGTATATGTACTTCCTCTCTCTGTAGCAGAATGAGCCGGACCAATATGATATGGACTGCGTTACCGATGCTTGCATCGTGAAAAATCCCAGCCACCTGCAAGAAAGTAATGCAAAATATTTACATATGAAAGACAGCGGTGCAATCGAAGTAACAGTCCACCTAGCTGCTTTTTTTTAACCGACCAAAGTCACTTACCATGTTCATGATGGTAAAGATGTAGGACTCAACGTTCCCACTTCCGTGGTACTCCACGAGTTTGGAGTCGCCCACCACCATGGTCTCCACCCAGCGCTCTTTGCTGATGGAGCGAGGGGAGATCCTCCGAGGTCGACCCCATTGGTCACCCTGCTGTTCCTGCTCCCAGCGCTCTCTCTCCTGCTCCACCTGTTGGGAATACTTGGAACCATCTGCACAAACACAGACAAATTCTGCTCATGCAACACAGTTTATGCAATGATTAAAATATGTAGGCCCGCTTTCACAGACAAGGCTTAGATTAAGCCAGGATTAGTTTAATTAGGACATTTAAGTAGCTTTTATAAATGTGCCTTTACTTGAAGGGGTGTACATAACCATAACATGACACCTTCATAATCATGACATAACATATGTCTTGAATATGAAGTACACTGTAAAAAATATTTTCAAGATTTGTTATCACAACATATTTTCTTTTGTCAAATCAACTTTATAATAATTTATTTAGTTGAGATAACTTAGAGTTTCTTTTGAGTTTCTGATGGTTAAATTAATCTCCTTCATTGTATTAACTCACTTTTTCAAGTTCAATCAACTTAAAATTTTAAGGCAACCCAGGTTACTTACTTTAAGTTAAACCAACAATATTTTTTTACAGTGTAGTAATCACAACATTTTGTCTTTTGTCAAATCAACTTAATTTATTTAGTTCAGATAACATGTAATTTTGAGTTTCTGATGGTTAAATTAATCTCCTTCATTGTATTAACTCACTTTTTCCAGTTCAATGAACTTAAAATTTTAAGGCAACCAGGTTACTTACTTTTTTTAAGTTAAACCATCAATATTTTTTTTACAGTGTAGGGTTTATGCATGTTTATGACAACTGTCATTAAGTGTCTTTCGCTCAATAATGAGATTTTGAATCAATGCACATATGGCATTGTTTAAGATGTCTTTGTTATGACATATTGACATATATCATAACATCATAACCTGCCAGTGTCTTTGTCATGACAACTTAAACTGTCATGTGGTTGGCTTTGACATTGGCTGTCATGAGGCCATTATTTTCGTGGCCTCAACTACAGTGGTACTAATTAAATTTGTCATTAAAAAGTTATAACGGCTTCATGACAGCCAATGTCAAAACCAACCACCTGACAGTTTAATGTAATGTTAACCAATAAAGCTAGGTGGCTTCTTAAGTTTGATCATTAATCTGCTATGTCATGTTTATGACAGGCTGTGTTGTCTTAGTTGTCATGACAAAGACACTGACAGGTTATAATGTATTGGTTTATGTCAAGGTGTCATAAAGACATCTTAATGTCATATTTGCATTAAAAATGTCATAACTGAGCGAATGACACTTAATGACAGTTGTCACAAACATGCATAAAACTTATATGCCATGTCATGATTATGAAGGTGTCATGTTAGTCTTATGCACACGCCTTCAAGTAAAGTGTTACCCAAAAAACATTACTGTTGTGCATCTGAAGACAAAAGAATGCCAGAGACATATTTTAATCAAAATATGTGTCTTGTTTCTCTGACCTTTGACACCGCAGGGACTATAGTGAACGCTGTGCGTGTCTGTGCTGCGTCGCCGCCTGAGAGCGCTCCAGGTTAAACTCCGGTAGATCACATGTGGGTGTCGAGGATGAGTGACATTTGGAGTAAGGCCACGGACCGGCTCGATCAATAACGGCCCCTCTGGTAAATTTAACAGCCCTCTCTATAAGTAAAAAAAAACAACACACTTAGTCATAAATCATAATAGGTGTCATTTATACTACCTTAGTCATAAATCATAATAGATGTCATTTATACTACCGTTTAATTTACCATTTTGGGGGGGAAGTCCTTTAATTAATACTTTTATTCACCATGGATGCATTAAATTAATCAAAAGTGGCAGAAAAGACATTTATCATGTTGCAAAATATTTGTATTTCAAATAAATATTTATATTTCGACTTTGAGAAAATTAAGCAGTATAACGGTTTTCAACATTGATAATAATTAGAAATTTAATCACATATTAGAATGATTTCCAAAGGGTCATGTGACTGATGTCGAAAAGTCTTTGCATCAAAGGTATAAATTACATTTGATATTATATATATATATGATATAATATCTAAACAGTTTAATTTAAATATTTCACAATATTATTGTATTTTAGGTCAAATAAATCCAGCCTTCATGAGTATAAATGCCAGTTCACACCAAGGGCAATAACGATAACGATAAAGATATAGTTCTAAAAATCGTTATAAATAAAAAAGAACAGAAAAATCCACATCACAACTATAATGACAACAGCACAGAGAAAATACCTAGTTGGAATCACTTTGATGAATGATAAAACCGTCGCAACCTGGTCGCAACTGTCACAGTCTTCGTCTGCACCATCCTGTCTGCGTCTCCAGCACTACACTTCCCATGATCCTCTTGTCTGCACACCTGAACTCACTCCCTCATCAGCCTCCCGTTCAGCGTCCTGTTCATCTGTTTCACCTGTCTTCACCTCATTATGTTGATTCTTCAGTGTATTTAGTTCCCTCTGTTTTAGTCAGTCTTTGTCGGTCGATGTTTAATGTTATGTGGTGTTACCCAGTCTTCCTGCCTGTATCGGAACTTTATCTTTAGTAAACCTGTTGTATTGAAACCTTTTGGACTCAGCCTGTCTCTCTGCCTGCACCCGCACCGTGACAGATCGACCGACCGCCAAATAATGGATTTTGCAGCAGTGCAACTTCTCCTCCTGGAGCAGGAGGATCAATCCCTCGAGGCCCACACACAGAGGTATTTGGACTTGATACCTCACGTTCACTATGATGATACCAGCCTCTGTGTGTTCTTCCGGGCAGGCCTAAACGCTGAAACCCAGGCACGCCTGCCCGGAGAGGGGCCTCGAGGGAACTTCGCGGCCTATGTGGAGTGGGTGCTGGTGTCATGTGGATCTTCTTTCACCGTGGACGACGGCACCAGCCCCACTCCAACGCCAGGGACCGTCCAGCCCGAGACCGTCCAGCCGGAGCCCGAGACCGTCCAGCCGGAGCCCGAGACCGTCCAGCCAGAGCCAGAGCCCGAGACCGTCCAGCCAGAGCCAGAGCCCGAGACCGTCCAGCCAGAGCCAGAGCCCGAGACCGTCCAGCCAGAGCCAGAGCCCGAGACCGTCCAGCCAGAGCCAGAGCCCGAGACCGTCCAGCCAGAGCCAGAGCCCGAGACCGTCCAGCCAGAGCCAGAGCCCGAGACCGTCCAGCCAGAGCCCGAGACCGTCCAGCCAGAGCCAGAGCCCGAGACCGTCCAGCCAGAGCCAGAGCCCGAGACCGTCCAGCCAGGGCCAGAGCCCGAGACCGTCCAGCCAGGGCCAGAGCCCGAGACCGTCCAGCCAGAGCCAGAGCCCGAGACCGTCCAGCCAGAGCCAGAGCCCGAGACCGTCCAGCCAGAGCCCGAGACCGTCCAGCCAGAGCCCGAGACCAGGATCCCACCCTGCCTCCCTCTCCCGCCTCCTCTCATCTGTCCCCGTTCTTCTCTCCTGCCCTTCAGCTCCCCTGACCCAGCCTGGTCCGTGGATCCCCGGTCTTCGCCTCACACCTCCTCCTCTGAGACACTTCCTCGGCCCCCGGTCCCATCGGCTCCCCCGTGGCTGCTACCTCCCTCAGCTCCTCCATGGTCCCACAGCCCACCAGCTCGGCCAGGCTCCCTCGTCCCTCCGAACTCCCTGCACTCCCTCGTCATCCTCCCTTCACCTTTGGACTTCCTTCCCTTGGCTCCGCCCCATCATGTCACCCCCCCGGTTCAGTTGGACTCCTCACTCCCTCCAGTCACCCGTCAGCCCTCACGCACTCTGACCTCACCGTGTCCCTCTGTGCCCCTGTCAGCACTTCGGTCACCAGAGCCTGCGGTGTCCCCTAGCTCCCTCGGTCCCTCCTCAGCATCCATCATCGTCGGTCCCTCAGCTACACCCTGGTCTCCTCTCCCATCCGCTCCGCCCCTGTCAGTCGGCCCCCTGGTGTTGCCAGCCCCACTACCATCGGCTCCACCAGGGGTCCTCCCTCCAGCTGCTCCGCCCTGGTCTCGCCCTCAGCCTGCTCCGCCCTGGTCTCGCCCTCAGCCTGCTCCGCCCTGGCCACGCCCTCAGCCTGCTCCGCCCTGGCCACGCCCTCAGCCTGCTCCGCCCTGGCCACGCCCTCAGCCTGCTCCGCCCGGGCCACGCCCTCAGCCTGCTCCGCCCTGGCCCCGCCCCGCCCAGCCCCCAGTTCGTCCCCCCTCCTTCCTCTGTTATGCGGCGTGAGGTCACGCCTCCCGGGAGGGGGGAGTTCTGTCACAGTCTTCGTCTGCACCATCCTGTCTGCGTCTCCAGCACTACACTTCCCATGATCCTCTTGTCTGCACACCTGAACTCACTCCCTCATCAGCCTCCCGTTCAGCGTCCTGTTCATCTGTTTCACCTGTCTTCACCTCATTATGTTGATTCTTCAGTGTATTTAGTTCCCTCTGTTTTAGTCAGTCTTTGTCGGTCGATGTTTAATGTTATGTGGTGTTACCCAGTCTTCCTGCCTGTATCGGAACTTTATCTTTAGTAAACCTGTTGTATTGAAACCTTTTGGACTCAGCCTGTCTCTCTGCCTGCACCCGCACCGTGACAGCAACTCTGTCGTCATTATGTTAAGCCCGCCCGCTGACTCTATACACTATGTGATTGGCCTGACCAGAGTTTGGTTTTTCCAGCTAAAACGTCTATGGAGAGTTGCTAGACGACACTGGTTGCGAAATAATTTTTGCTGCCGCTAGGGTGCGTCTAGATTTCTAGGCTAGAAAATTGGATTTGAAAATGTAACTCTGAGGGAGATGTAAAATGAGCCTATTTCCAAAAAAATCCCTTTAAGGGTCCCATGTGTTCACACTTTGACAGTGTAAATCTATGGTAATTTTTCACCTGTTTGAACATCCACCAGTTAAAGGAGTAGTTTACTTTTAAAAAAACTTTTACTGATAATTTACTCACCCCCATGTCATCCAAGATGTCCATGTCTTTCTTTCTTCAGTCGAAAAGAAATTAAGGTTTTTGATGAAAACTTTCCAGGATTTTTGTCCATATAATGGACTTCAATGGGAACCAAACAGTTCAAGGTCCAAATGAGAGTTTCAGTGCAGCTTCAAAGAGCTTTAAACGACACCAGATGATGAATAAGGGTCTTATCTAGCGAAACGATCGCTCATTTAAAAAATAAATAACAAAGTTTACGTTTTATAAGCTCAAATGCTCGCCTTGCTCTGTTCTGTGATGCGCGTTCGTGACTCTCCTGTTCGAACTCGTTCATCAAAATACACGAATCTTTGTTCGTGTCATTTGGTTCTTTCAATGAACGAAATGAATGAGTTGACTCGGAAAAAGATTCGTTTATTTTAATGAACGAGTTCGAACAGGAGAGTCACAAACGCGCATCACAGAACAGAGCAAGGCGAGCATTTGAGCTTATAAAACTTAAACTTTGTTATTTATTTATTAAATGAGTGATCGTTTCGCTTGATAAGACCCTTATTCATTATCTGGAATCATTTAAAGCCCTTTGAACAGATTGCAGTTTGCACTGAAACTGTCTTTTGGACCTTGAACCGTTTGGTTCCCATTGAAGTCCATTATATGGAGAAAATGCTGGAATGTTTTCATCAAAAACCTTAATTTTTTTTCGACTGAAGAAAGAAAGACATGGACATCTTGGATGACATGGGGGTGAGTAAATTATCAGCAAAATTATTTTTGAAAAGTGAACTACTCCTTTAAACATGGCACACCCAACAAATGTACAGCCCAACTCTCCACAACAAGTGATGTATCATTCATGTCCGTAGCCCAAACAGTGTGAGACGCGTTAGTTACGCATTAACGGTTGAAATTTGGGGATTAGGGAAGGGTTTGTTCAAATTGTTTAAAGTAGTTTGTTGTAATGACACTTCAGGTGTCAGGTCTCATCAGATCTGTTGGAATTCTGCTGAACGCAGGGAAGGTATTTTCCCTGTCACACTCCCTCTGTTTGTTAATTTTCCCTGCAAGTTCTTGCCAGTCCTGACATTTTCTCCACACTGCGGGGGCTTTAGTAGGATTATTAGAACGTGTCACATGCACATGCTAAAACACAGCACGCTCACATTATTACCGTTAAATACACACACCAGTGCAGTTTGACATGCAAGTGTTAAATTGACTTCAATCCTATCTGCACCTTTAAGAATGCTGGGTTGTTTCAACCCAAATTTGGGTAAAATATGAACAAACCCAAATGTTGAGTTAAAAATGTAATAAAAAAATTACAGTTGAAAGTGAACGTTTTTTGGGCCTATATGGATTTTACGTAATAGGAATAATTATATAAATCATTATTACATTATTTTAATAATCGTTTGGCATCCTAAAACAGAATGACACTTTATATCATAACTAAAAAGATGTTTGATCCCTCTTCAATGTCCAGGTACAAGTCGAGGCTTTTCCTTTGTTCAATGTCACAGTTCATGGGTTGAAGCCGGTTAAAGCTCTTAATTTTGAGCTCTCAAAAGCACTTTTTCCACCAAAGCATTTTGAATGGAAAAAAACTTTGAATTTTTAAATTACATTTTAATCCAACATTTGGGTTTGCTCATATTTGACCCAAATTTGGGTTGAAACAACCCAGTGTCAGTATATATTTATCTTTTTATTTACAGTATACCTTTCAAAAAGAT